CACTAGCACCCTTGTAGCCCCGTGGCAAGCCAGAACCAAATCAAGAAGCTAATCTAAGTTGAAACAGATCAATGTATCTTGTTAGATCAATTTTCTGTTCCAGGCGACTGCTCAAAGCCTTGAGCTGACTCAGGGAAAGCGGATGAAAGGGTGCAAGACTGCTTTCTTCCTCTGTTGTTGGTCTGTGCTCTGTAGTAGGTGAGAGTGCTGAAAGGAAGGCAGGGGCTTTAAGGCTGAGTTATAGCAGTTCCCCAGAGGGTTGGCCTGCATAGCTGGGATTTCCTTGTCAGTTTTATTACTTTCACCTTTTCTCATATTCTGTTTGAGAGTGTGCGATAAAGGGCACTCTGATTATTTCCCAAAAGAGATAGGCAGTGCTGCTGCCACAAGTACATGTGACCCAGGCTCAAGTATATACTGGGTTCACCAGTGCCATAGCAGGGGTATGAAATAAAACAGTAGAGGCTTTGCTAATGATAAGTTACAGGGAATCTCTCTGCTGGATTGTGACTAATTAGTAAGGATTGCCCTTCGTAAATTGGTTGGATGAACCAACAGGGCTGAGTTTGGCCTACTTATGATAAACTTTGATCTTTTTGTGGGTTTTTTTGGTGGTTTTTTTTTTTTTTTTTTTTGAAAAAAGACATTGTAGAACAGTATTGATGATAATTAGATATTTGTTAGGCTACATTGTAACAGCTCTCCAGCAGGTTGTGTGAATCTTCCTAATGTGTATTTTTCCCCAGCTGTTTCTAGCGTTGCCCTTCTCAAGCACTGGCTGCACTCATGGGCCCGGATGGCCCGGACAAGCCTCACCTGGAGCCTCCACCCACACCCTTTGCCCATGGGCTAAAGCCCCTGTGAACTGATCCAAATACAGAAGTGACTCAATCTTCAAGAGTCTAGGCCAGTGGTCTCCAGATGTTTTTGATCACACACCCCATCTGTAAAAGTTTTTAGAGCATCCACCCCCAATATACGTATATTTATTTACAAATTATATGCATGTACTACTGAAGTTCTAATATTTTCTTTCTGCACCCCTGTGGATTGTCTTGTGCACCCACTGGGGTGCACACATCCCACTTTGGAGACCACTGGTTTAGGCTACATAACTCTAATCCTCTAATTCCATTCATTGTCTCACATTTTATTTTCAAACTGTCTTGGTGTAATACGGCTTACACCCATTTCATACATCAATCATTAGTTTGGCCTACTATACCTTAACAAACACTGACGAGGACAGAATTTGTATAACTTGTGTATAGAAAAACTGAAAAGATAGTGGGCAAGAAAAGCAGCAAAGTTTTCTACCGTTTGTGCTGTGGAAAATGTGTTAGGAAAATTTCACAAGGACAGGCTTGTATTTATTAATACACTTTTATTTGATCATCTGTGTCAAGGTCATGTGTTGCTAAAGTTGCCCTCTTTTCTAAATAGACTGAATGAGTAGTTGTTTTTGGGTGTGCAAGGACTCGGTCTGATTGTGCACCTCCTCTGTTGCTGTCCTGAAGTTAACAGGACGCTAATCCTCATTGAAAATCTGCATCAGTTAAAAAGATTTAAACCTGCAGTTTTGTGGTTCTGTAGATCTTGGGTACGTGTAGTGAAATAGGAACAGAAATTAGTCTGAATAGGTAGGATTGTGGCTTGGTTGTGATCTTGATTGTTCTTTCACAGACCACATACCCCTACATGTGCTGTTTGAATTGCGTGTTGGTCCTGTGGTATTTCACAAAAGCACTGCCATGCAGCATCATGTTAGTGTAAAGTTACCTAGCCATCATGTGTGGAGATGTTGAGATGGTAGTGATCTGTCTGTGCTTTATTTGCAGTTTTCAAGGTGCAGGAGCATGTAGCCCCTTAGGCTGTGAATGCTGATCAGAACAACTTCTTAATGTAGCAAGAGCTGTGTATGATAGGTGTGTTCATGGCTCTGTGAGGGTCTACATTCATCAGCTGTATGAAAACTTGGTAACGGTTTGATACAGTCTAGCTTTCTGGTAAACCAGAATTAAAAAAAAAAAAAGTGACATAATATTTCTTTTCCATGTATGTATAGAATTCTGCTAGTGATGACAAGAATGTTGTTAAAGCTTGTTGGGAAGATGCCCTTCTGAGGGGACTGGTTGTGATTCTTGGTGTTTATCAAAAATGTAGCTGTTTTCTTTGGGTTTTATTGTCTGTTGTAAACTGGTAGGAGTTTACAGTATGTTGGGTAGATTTTTCTTTTATGCTCCTTGTGAAATGAGGAAAAACAACAATTTGTTTTTTCTAATAAAGCCAGCTGCGTGTTCAGCTAAAGGGCTGAAAAGAATATGTATTACTATTAAGATTTTCTGTCATTGGTGTTTTCATGCAATTTATTTTCCTTCTGATAGTTATATGCAGGTTTTCAAGATTTCAGTGAACTTACCAAATTTGTCTAATTTGTGTTAGTTTTAATACCCACGGGAGTCCTGATCGATCAAAGTTCTGTGTGGTCACTTTCCATAATGTTGAACCCTTTCTGTAGTATAGTCACAGTGAGTATTTGGTTTTTGTAAAGCAAAGACATTTTATTTTGTTTAATGATGTCAGTATTGTCATATGGGATGGGATGGGATTTTCAGAAGTAGGCATGCAGTGTGAAAACAAAGATCCTGTTGACTTTGGGTAGAGCTGATTTTTTACTTTTGGTTAGCTAGGAGTCTTTGAAACCTTGCTTTTGAGAGATAGATATGCTGTTAGAGGAAGTAACAGCTTTCTGCAAGTAGTACTAACAGTGCAGTTGAAGCACAATGCTAATTGCTTATTAATTTGTTCCTACTGATGCACATTTAAATTTTGTGACATAAAATGTCATGTGATTTGCTTAGCATTAAATTGCAAGATCAGTGCTCATGCTGGTGGCTGTATGCAGCAGTGAGCAGATGTAATGCTGAATCATGGGAGAAATTATTTTTCTTAGCATCACCTCATGAATGCTGATTTTGTTGACATTTGAGGTAGTTCTCTGTAGCTGTGCTTTGCTTTCCTGCTCTCCCAGAGAGGTGATACTGAGGGATCCTTATAGTGATGTATGCTCTGGTTCTGCTTCACCCTCACTGTAAGCTAAAGCGCAGGAGATTGAAGAAAAAATCTGAATGAGGCTATGCAGAATAGAGGACAGGGTATCCTCTGCTAGTCTAAAGTATACCCTGGTTTCAGAATCAGTGGAGTATAGACGAATTTCAGGAAAGAGGTTACAGAATCACAGGACTGACGTGGGAAGGGATGGCTGGAGATCACCTCATCCAACATCCTGCTCACAGCAGGCTCAGCCAGAGCGGGCTGCTCAGGGCTGTGGTCCAGCTGGGTTCTGGGTATCTCCAAGGATAGAGACTCCATAACCTTGCTGGAAGACCTGTGCCAGTATTTGACTATGTACCCTCAGAGTTTAAAAAAAAAAAAAAAAATAAAAAAAATTGCTGCTTAAATAGGTTGGTTGGTTTGTTTCGATTTGTGCCCCTTGCCTCTTGTTCATTCACTGGATACCACTGAGAAGAGTTTGGCTCAGTCGTCTTTACACCTTCCCACCAGGTCTTTATACACACAGATAAGATTCCCCCATAGCCTTTTGTTCCGCAGGCGGAACAGTCCTGGTGCTCTTAGCCCCTTGCATAACAGACGCTCCAGTCCCTTCATTGTCTTAATCATTACGGAGATCTGTATGAGGGAGAGCCTGAAGAATGATTCACGTGGATCTGGTCAGGGAGAGTAAGTTTCTATTTGTCAAGAAGTAAGAGAGAGAGCAAAATGAATTAAAGCCAAAACTGTATTAATAAATTTGAGTCATAAGTATGACAGCGGACTTTTTAAAGGAAGTCGAGGAAAAAAAACAAGCACGGAATGCACAGTATCAGTTTGATGTGATTAGAAGATACTGTGAAGATGAGATTGGGTAACTAAATGGAAGCCAGGGTACCAAGAAGTTTAGGAAATGCTAGCATCAGTTGATAATTGAACTGGTGGATGAGATGGGATCTTTACAGAGAGAAGAAGGGAGGGTGAAGTGGTCCTGAGAGTTACTGACAGGGAAAAGGGAGAAGGTACAGTCTCAGGTGACATTCTGAGAGTTACGGTGGACAGGAGAACCAGGATATGCAAACAGGCTTCGAAGGAACAGCGAGCAGAGGAAACAGTGATGGAACGTGTTTGGAACAGGCAGCACCTGACCAACTAGGCAGTGCGTAAGAGAGTTTGTGGTCATGATATTGTGAGGCTAAAAATGCTCTGCACCCAGTGAACGGATGCTTGCATTCAGTTTGGCTAATGCAAATAAATTCCCCCACCCATTGTTAAAAGGATTGTCAGAACTCTCTACTGTTAATCACAAGTTCACTTAAGTACACTTCTGAGTATTGTTGAGGAGAAACTGGAAGTGGCCGTGTTGTCACTAGCAATAACTAAGGAAGGTCTGCTAGAAAATAGCATTCTTTTTAATGCTTTGTCATGTCTCAGCTATAGTTTCAGTTCTAGCCTGTAACAACACTATCATGATACGGACCTAAATTTGTTTAGTTTTTTTGGCTGGTCAGTATTATAGGTGATAATTTGTAACAGTCTTTGTAGGTTCTGTAGTGTTCGGTTATTCCCTCACTGGGATTAGTTGCGAGTAAATTCCTATAGAAGCATTTTAATTAGACTCTTGAGATTGCGTTCAATGTTGATTTTTTTACTACCTTTTTAAGTCATAGTTCTGTGTAATCAGCTTGGTTAATCATTTGTCTTTCTCCAATTTAAATTTCTAAAAAAACCCCTAAATGGTACATGTGACTGAATTTGAGTTTGAGATAAATCAGTGGACCTCTGTAGAAGGTGCAGTTTTGTTTAAGAACTTTGCCAACAGTAGACATCTGTCAACTTCATAAATTGTTTAATAAAAAATATTGAGATATTCTAAATCGGTTTTATTGTTGAAAGCAATCTTTGGTCTGTTATGTATCAAATATCCATCCTCTCCCTTTTTGTTCTAGTTGTCATGGATGATGACGACGATGAATCCTGTCTCCTTGATCTTATTGGGTAAGTTTTCCTTAAGCAATTCGTTCAGAAAAGTTGGGAAAAACAATTTTGCAAAATCATCTTCTAGAAGGCGGTTCTATTTCAGTATAGTCTCAAGGCTAGGTGACTTGCAAATGGAATTGAGTAGCTATGCTTCACTTCCTCCATGTGGAAATGCGTGTATCATAAAGCCTTCAGTCCCGGTGTATGGTAGCTGACAGTCCACTTGCTGGCATTCTCCTCAAGAGAGGCTAAGGAATGAGTGTGCATGGATTTCGGATTCTCTTCTTAGCTAGTGTTATTCTCCTCTTAGTTTATCAGGTCAGTGTTGAAGCATGTTACTAGGGATGTTGTTACAGACTTCATTGCAAAGAACTATTTTTTTGGATTAAAAAAATAAAGATCTCATTTTTTTGAGTAGTGGAACTAGGTACTTTATTAACACTATGCTTCTGTTTTAAAGGGAAAAGCAAAATTATTATTAATTGTAAATACTTAATTTCTACTAATAACATGCATATGCATAAAAATATTAGAAAAAAAGAATTGCTACCCAGTACTGTTAAGTATTCACAACAAACAAGAATTTATCAGCATTTTGCACAAAGATACTTGATTTTAATAAAATTGGGGATTTTAAATGGTTAAATGGTCCTTTTCTTCCCCCCCCCCCCCTTCATTATTTCCATAACAGATTTATTTGGAGGTTTATAATTCCATATGGGGATCTTAAACAATAATTAGGATAGCTGAAGCCTGAGCAAGATTTTTGTGGATTGTATATGTGACAAATTACCTTCCTTTGGCTAACGTTCAAGAACAGATAATGTGCTATAATGCATTCAAAACATAAGAAGGAAATTGAACATTTCATATATGAAGCTTTGTTCAAACTCTGCCAGAAATTAGTATGATATCAGTCTCATAGCAGCTAATAAAAGATTGTCTCCACTTCATACAAGAATTTTTTACTGTCTTAAATGTAGTAAATAAATAGGCCTTTTACCTTTCTCACTCACTCAAAGCTTCCAGTGAAACCAGTGAGATCTTTAATTTCAGAAAAAACAAAGTATCACCACAGTGGCTGCTGTAATTTGGGGGTTACTCTGTGGATGCTATAGCAAAAGCATTGCCAGTAATGGCTCACGGTTATGTTCTGTGAAATATACTGTGCAAGGTGGCTGATTGTAGCCGTATGAAAACACATCCTGCTTGAAACATAAAGATGATAATTGACTGCATGGGGCAATTAAGTGCTTTGTCATGAGCATGAATCACGAGGATCCTGGTACAAGTTCACAAGTGGTCCAGAAAATTAAGTGCTCTCTATACAGATGAGTGTTTGTGTGAAAAATTACAGTGTTCTTCTTGCTGCTGGCAGCAATTACTGTCTTAAGCATCTAGAAGAATGGAAAACAGCATTTTTTTTCCATCTGATCTTTGATTTTGGTAAGTGTCTTCTAAAATTCCTTCCTTACTAAAGACAATATTTGAGGTGATGAAGTGTTCTTCATTTTTAATTGCATTTTTCATGATTTAAAGCCAGTGAGTGTAATTAGTATTAAACGGCCTGGTGATTTATCAATAAAACTCGTAAGCATGATAGAACCCTATATGAGATCATGAGTTCTGTTCTCCTTAATTCTTGAAATTTAGTGTAATCTACTATGAAAATGGCATTTTGTTTGAAAATATATGTAACCACTTCTATGTTGCAAGCATAACTGTACCATAAAGCCCCTGCCAAGTACTGTCTGTTTAACAAGTCTTTTGTAAACACAGGAATGCAGTTTGGTTTTTTAAATTAAAAAAAGAGGAATAGAGGTGTATTTGTGCTTTTAGAAGACCAGCTGTAAACCTGAAAGATCTTTAACTTGTTCCCTCTTTGTTTTCTAGGATGATCAAGAGAGAAGGAGAGATGTTTTGAATTAATATTTTTTTTACATGAGAATCTCCTGCTTCTCAAAAATGTTTTATTAATAGTTGTTAATAAAGATGTTTTAAAATCAAAAAACTCCATGTCATTTTACTCTTCATGCTAATGGACATGTTGGGAAATGCTGTATAATTGTTGTATTAAAATAATCCCATGTAACAACAACCTTTTAATGTTTTTTACTTGGTCTGTATGTGCAGTTACATTAATGTATTTTTGATTTGTTTGAATTTCCAACACTCATTCTATCAAACCACATTTTTAATCTGAATTTTATTCAGTGATAGTGCTAAGTTAATAAAATATACTGAAATTGTATTTCATAATATTTAATCAGTTACTTCTGTGGTTGATTTCACTTGGAAATGTGCTGCTTTTTTCTCCAAATGAGGGGACTGTTACTCTGTCAAGCATAAGTTTTTGTTAACTTATGTTAAGGGTGGCAGAAAACACGTTAAAGATTCAGGTTTGACAATAGGGTATTTTTGTTACCTTATGTTAAGGGTGGCAGAAAGCGTTAAAGATTCAGGTTAGTAAATACCCTATTGACTTAGACACTAGTTAAACAGACATCATAGTTCGTTTCTGTAGAAGAGATGGTACCTGTTGTAGTTCTCATGTTATTTGGTGGTAGTATTTTCCTTAGGTTTTGTACTGTGTGCTGTCATAAAGTACTGTGTGTTTTAAGAGTGTGAGTAATACCCTCATAAAGGGAAGTAAAGTAGAATGCAACTATAATTTTGTGATTAACATAGTTTATTGCACGAAATGCCTTGGTACAATGACAGCAGATATGATGAACATCTGAAAATTGTGCTGATAGAGAAACAGATCCTCAGATGGTATAAACTTCCAGCTTTGTATTGGAGTCAGTGAAAGAAATGTGTTTTTACTGTAAACCTGATTTATGTGAATACAGTATCTGGCTTAGTTAAATTAACCTCGTTAGCAGAAAGGGCTTCCTAAAAGTGGTAACGTGTTTTTTTTTTTCCCCCCCCTTAAGGGACCCACAGGCTCTGAATTATTTTCTACATGGACCTACTAGTAAATCTGTAAGTAACATTCCTGTGTAGTAGACGTACATAAGCTTCATTGAGTGTATTATTTCTAAACGTGATTTTTTGTCTTTTACCAGAGCAATGAAGACTTGACTAATGCAGAATATTCTGTAGCCAACTCAAATTCAATTTTCGCCAACTCCAATGTAAGTGGTCAGGAGATAAATTATATTTGTATTGAGGTTGCATGCTCTTGTTGTGGCTTTACTTGGCTTTTATAAAACTGAATGAAGTAGACATGGGTTTTGACCTTTTTCATATGAAAATTCTGAATGCTAATGGAGCACCGTTTCGTGCTGTTAAAATTTGAAGTATTTCATTGGGTATTCAGTGGGGAATTAATTGAAAGATACTGCACTGTTGGACCATGTTTCAGAAATACCTAAACCAGCTTGCTGAGCAGTGAAAATATTATCCGTTGTAACTCTCTCCAGTAAACTGGACTTGTAATTTTAGTGATTGTAGATGTAGTAGTGCTCAAATGTAGATCTTAAAAGTTAGTCATTCATACATTTCCTGTGTATGTTAGGATGGTTTCGTTTCTTATTTCTGAGTAGAATCTGAGCTAGCAATTTTTTTAAATTAATGAATGAGGGTTTTTTGTTCTTTAGACTGAATAGCTAGCTTGGGATGTTTCCTTCCTGTAACTTCAATGTTAGGGAAGTCACTTTAATTCATTAAGTGTTGCAAGTAGTCTTCAGTATTCTTTCTTCGCCAGGAGTGTATTGCAGCCCTGGACCAAGTTTTACCCAATGAGGTTGTGGAATCCCCATCCTTGGAGATAAAGCCAAGGCTGAACTGCTCTAGTGCTGGCAATAGTCCTGCTTTGAGTAGAAGGTTGGACTAGAGGACTTCTGAGATCCCTTCTGACCCACGTTTCTTTGACTTCATTGGTGTGTTTTTAAAAAAAGAAAACTGCATTCTTCATCCCACAATTCAGCTATTTGAATATTTAGAGTAGGGTTTCCTTGGTAATTCCTCTTTCTGTTGTACTGTTTTCTTGACTCTGTCCCATGTTCCTAACAGATATGTGGATATGCTTGTAGGTGTGTAGGGACCTTAAATAATTGGCATAAATAAATCCTGAAAACTGTTTATCTATGCATAGAGAACTGGTGACTTTTCTGTAGCCACAGTAGTGTGATATGAAGTGTTTGCCCTGTCCTTCCCCTTTCAATATCATTATTAAATATGGTAGAAGAAACATAGGTTGAGTGACAGTTCTTTCTCCGATCAGCTGGTTGAGATAATGGTGGGGGAGTGGGGTACCAATAGTAGTAGGCTGTGCCCAGTTTTCAGCTAACTGGGAATAGTGGTTTCAACTTGATACCAGGCTAGCCATTATTGGACAGCAGCTTTCTGTATGCAACATGGCAGAGGTGGGTTTTGAGGATGCATCCTAAGAAAAACAGGGTTATAGGGGAAAAAGGGTGACATAGGACATGCATTTGTCATAGCCTAGGCTTCCGAGTTGTTCTTTGTAGAGATTCTTCTGACAAGCATGTGTAGGTGGGCAGGAGTCAGGGGTGTATTTCTGGTGTATTTTCAGGAAGTGAGTTTTTGGAGTAATTTTGTGAGGGAGTGGGAGATTTTGGGCAAGGCACGATTGTTGTGTAGGGAGTAACAGTTGGAAGAAACAAAAATATTTGTTGAAAGCCAAAAGACCTTTCTGGTATATGAGGTTGGGGGGGTAGGTAATCTTGAAGGCAGGTGATCAGAGGAGCAGGGATTTCTACTGTGTGTTCCTAGGATAGCTTACTGTATTTTCATTCTCCAGCACTTGTTGCTCACGTGTTCTGTTCTCGTCCTTTTGTATCTTCATAATGAATACCAATGCCATCTTCTCTTCCCTCCCTCCTTCACGTGAGAGCCCTGTGCTGACCTAAATGAAGAATGACTTGATTGTGAAGGTGGATTCTTACAGTGCATTGTGAAGGAACAAGGGGTATCTTAAAATATAGATATAGATGGTTTCACAGTCCTTGCTTATGATGTAAGATACCTGAAAAGTTAAAGGCTTCTGAGTTTTTTGTCATTAAAATTTTTGCAGATACTGAAAGTTCTGTCTTTGTATGTATTCAGAATTGCTACCATGAAGTAGGATTGACTGTCTTGATGTGTGTCTCGTGCCTTTCAGTGGCAGAGTTTACAAATTCAGTGTCAAGGGTTCAATGCCTTAGCTGGTAAGCATGCTCAGCCAACACCTAACACAAACAAGATTAAGTTCCTCTGACTGAAGGACGAGAAAGCAGCGCCCACCGCCCCCCACCCTGAGTTGGAGGATTGCACATGACCTCTGCTGATTCCTCACTGGTTTCCTTGGCTGGTCGTCAGTCTCTGTTATAACCCTCATGGAGGGTTCCGTAGCCATTGTCCTGTTACCTGGGTTGTACTCAGTGACTGCTTCCACCTTCCTATTACAGTATAGTAGAACAGCTTAAGAGAGCAGAATATTCATGCAGCCAGGAGAATAAGGCTCTTGCTGGTAAGCAGTCATGAAGTTGCAGAGGCATTAATTTTGTGTTGAAATTAGTATGGTGTTCTGTGTGGCTGTTCTGAATCTGGGTAGCAGTGATTCAGATGTTAACTTGGAAGGTCCCTGGTTCCAGTTTATGCACATAAAATTGTTTTTGGATGTTAAACAGTCCTGGGAGCAGGGAATGAAACTTTGGTTTCTTCATTCCAGTGGGAGAGTTTTAAGCTATTAATCTTGATGGCACGTGATATTATTTATTGTTACTGTTGCTATTAGTAGTAGTAGTAATAGTTGTATTGTTAGTACTAACTGGAATAGCATTAACTGGAGCCCTCTAGGTTATGCAGTCATGAAAGATTTTGGATTGGTCATTGTCACCGGAGACAAGTTACAGATGCAACAGGGAATTCTCCTCAAGAACCTGACAGTTATGAGTCCTAATAATGCCCTAGTTAGTGACTCCATCTGCCTGATGGTAGCTAGGTACAGTTGTGAACCTGATTTGTAATTTTAGGTGTTCATGAGATGCAGACATCAAAACATTTAAGTACTACTTTAGTTCCTTCTGTTAACATTAAATGTAAAAAAGTTTATTGTAATTTTATAATTGTGTTCTTAAAATTCAGTAAAATATTTTCAAAACAATCTCTTAATATTTTAAAACATGGCCAAAGTTTCATAAACTGCACAGGCTGATTCAGAAACAGTTTAGGGTAAAATTCTGAATAAATGTGCTTGGGGAACTGAAGTTAGGGTGGGGACGTTATTGCATGTGATAATTATGGCTTGCAGCATCTCCACGCTGTTTATATGAGGTGAAAACAAGCGTCTGTGACCTTCAAAGAGTGAAGGCTCAGAGTATGAAGCTGATTGATAATTTCACACCCACATTTTGCCTTTATCCTCACCTAAAAAGAAACTGGATGTTGTCTTTGAGTAGTTGGGATACGATTTGGCAATTTAGAAAGGTGTACCCTGTCTACCTTAAAACTATTGCAAGTATTATTATGCATTTGAATTCGTCATTCCACCTGTAGAAACCTGATACTTGTGTTGTCTAGAGTTTCTGGACATAGTTTTGTTTTAGGAAAATTTTATTGACGGTAGGCCAGAGTGAAGGTTCTGATTTTCCTTGTCACAGTATTTATGGATGTAGATTTGAAGTTTTTTTTTCATTCAAGGTATCACTTTATATTTGCTGTAGTTTCAATATTTGTGGTTCTCTGTAATTTTTTTACTAGCATAAACCATAGTCTGTAGCATTTTTTTTTTTCTTACTGCTTTGTTTCTAAACTTTTTCTAAACAAAGAATTAGTGTAATTCCTTAACTTTATGAAATGGTCACTAGTTTGCACTGTGTGACTATAGAAATATTGGTAGGACCTTGGAGATGGATCTCATTTGATAGAAGTCAGTGAAAGCACAGCTTTATCCTGCCTTTTCCCTGCTACTACTGTTGCTACTGAAACTTTGCCCCAAATTGAGTTACAGTGGAGGTCTTTTCACCCCTCCTTTCTTTTATCCTTTTGTCCATACAGTGCTCAGCTTGAGGAAGGGAAAATGGTACTTCAAGAGCATGTCACATCCTCTTGAAACAGTGCAGCTGCAGAGCTGAGTGCTGTGGAATTGGGAGATTTGAGAATTGAAAGGAGATTAGTGTCTCCAGCAGTCTGTTATGAGGGCATGAGTGGGATGTGACGCACATGTTTATGCTGGCCTGCTGTATGGGATGAATGTCACCTTATCGACATACTATGCAAAGAATGTAATTTTGTAAAGAAAGTTTGCTTGCATGAAGAAAAGCTCAATGGGGAAACAAGGTAGAGCTTGGAATTTCTGAAAATGATGTATTTCTTGTTTTACATTTCAGAACACTGATCCTAAGTCATCTGTAAAAGGTGTGAGCGGTCAGCTTGGAGAGGGGCCTAGTGATGGACTGCAGCTGTCCAGTAGCCTTCAGTTTCTTGAAGATGAACTTGTATCTTCTCCTTTACCTGATCTTACTGAGGATCAGCCTTTTGATATTCTTCAGAAGTCCTTGCAGGAGGCCAATATTACTGAACAGACTTTGGCAGAAGAGGCATATTTGGATGCCAGTGTAGGTTCTAGCCAACAGTTTGCACAAGCTCAGCTTCATCCTTCTTCATCAGCATCCTTTACTCAGGCTTCTAATGTTTCTAATTACTCAGGTCAGACGTTGCAACCTATAGGAGTTACTCAAGTGGTACAGCAACCTGTTGGAGCATCTTTTGCAAGCAATACAGTTGGTGTGCAACATGGCTTTATGCAACATGTCGGAATTAGTGTTCCCAGCCAGCATTTGTCTAATAGCAGCCAGATTAGTGGTTCTGGGCAGATACAGCTAATTGGTTCATTTAGTAATCAACCTTCCATGATGACCATTAATAACCTCGATGGATCTCAGATAATACTGAAAGGCAATGGTCAGCAAACACCTGCAAACATGAGTAGTGGCCTCTTGGTTCATAGACAAACTCCAAACGGTAACTCACTGTTTGGTAACTCAAATTCAAGTCCAGTAGCACAACCTGTAACTGTTCCATTTAACAGCACAAATTTTCAGACATCATTGCCTGTCCATAATATCATCATTCAAAGGGGTTTGGCACCAAATTCGAACAAAGTTCCCATTAATATCCAACCAAAGCCTGTCCAGATGGGTCAGCAGACTGCTTACAATGTGAATAACTTGGGAATACAGCAACATCACGTACAGCAAGGGATTCCGTTTGCTTCTGCAAACTCACCTCAGAGTTCAGTAGTTGGTCCTCATATGTCTGTTAATATTGTTAATCAACAAAATACAAGAAAATCAGTTACACCTCAGACAGTTAGCAATGCTGGAGGTAGTATTGTTATCCATTCTCCTATGGGACAGCCTCATGCACCTCAAAACCAGTTTCTCATACCTACAAGTTTGTCTGTTAATTCTAATTCAGTTCATCATGTCCAGGCCATAAATGGACAACTTCTTCAGACTCAGCCTTCCCAGCTGGTTCCTAGCCAAGTGTCTGCTGAGCATGTAATGCTCAACAGGAACTCCACAAACATGCTTAGAGCCAACCAGTCGTATTCAGGACAGATGTTGAATAATCAGAACACAGCTGTTCAGCTTGTTTCCGGCCAGACATTCACAGCTCCTGGAAACCAAGTTATAGTAAATCATGGAACTTCACAAATTGTGGGTGGACAGGTGCCACTGCAGCAGGCATCACCAACGGTGTTGCATTTGTCACCCAGTCAAGCTAGTGTTTCTCAAGGCAGATCGAGTTTTACTACGATGTCACCTGGGCAGTCTACAGTCTCGAATATGTCAGCTTCTAATCGATTTGCTGTTGCGAGTTCTTCTGGTTCAGTACATCCTAGCTTGGGACCATCAGTTCAGTCTGTCGCATCAGGAGGAAACTTTACTGGAGATCAGCTCACGCAGAACAGAACTCAAGTTCCTGTCAGTGCATCGCATCGTCTTCCAGCATCCTCTTCCAAATCTGTCAGCACCTTTAGTCACACATCAGTTGGAGTAACACAACAGTTCGCCTTTGGTCAGGTATGAAAGCTGCTTGAGAATGTAGCCAAAGAAATGCTTCTAAGCTATGCTAAAATCCAGTTAGCAAAGTATTAAAGTTGGTGTTAATAGAGAGAACATTAATTTTGCTAGTTTGTATTGTTACAAATGCTGTGGAACTGCTGAAAATTACTGTAGCTGGGATACCATTTCACTCGGTATTTTCTTAAGTCTGTCACCGAGTGAATGAGTCTGTCACTTCCATTAATTCAGAAGATTTTGTTGGTAATTTATAGTAATATTTTCAGAACTACTTAACACTGATCTATTTCTGCTCCCATTTAAAGGAATGGACATTGTAAGATTATAAAACTGTAAGCTCTCCTGAAAAATCTTAATCATAGGGCTAGATGTAAAGGCTCGGGTACATTCTCAGCACTTACAGGTCTTTTGACCTCACTAAAAACTATGCATGTGTTTTCAAGGTTTGACATATTCAAATTAGAGACGAAAAGGTTTCTTGGGTTTCTCTTTGTTATTTACCATACAAAGCCAATCTGTTAAAACAACCTTTTTGGCATTTTGCCCACTGTAGTTTTGTGTGTCTAGAGCAGTTAGACGCTTTCAAATTTGAAGCAAAGACAAGGCAAGAGGTGTTTCTTAGAATCCTTAAGAGAAAATACCTTTTAAAACAGTTTGTAAAAGCATAACATTTAAAAAAGTATTTTCTCTAAGAAGAGGTCTACTTAGTAATAATTAAAAACATTTTCTGAATTTACTTTTAAGGTGAGAACTAGTCTTTTTTTGTCCAGTTGGTGCAGCTGCAGTGTTCATTCAACTCAAGCTTGTCTGTTTCATAAGTGAACTTCCAAACTCTGCCAGTATTTAACTCAGTGACTTGTCACACAATTAGCAACAAGCTATTATTCTACTTCTGCCCTTTTTTTTGCTTTTGTTTTTTTTTTCCTTGGCCATTATAAAATACTGATTATAGAATAACTGTCTCAGAATGCATTTGCACTAATTATCTTGGATCTTTCTCTTTTGCAAAGGTCTAATGGATTTTTTTTAACCAAGACCAAAATGGGCAATGAAATGATGTGTCTTAGAAAATAATGTGTATTTAGAAAATAAGGGCAAACATCGTAGAACCACATTTCTAGTCTTTGCCATAACTGCTAGCACAGGCTGTAGCATTTTGTTTGCAGATGAGTAATTTGAGCCCTGCCTGACTTTCTCTTCATGTGTCCACATCTTTCTGTTTGTAGGATATGTGCTGGGTCAGTGAGTTTCAGCAGTTACAAAAGCATAATATTTCTTATTGCTGTAAAAGATCATTTTGTTTTTGTGCTGAAATTTCAGAGCTAAAAGTGGGAACTACAGAGAACAGATTCTATAGTTTACTAGAATCTTTTTAGTTTGTTTGTACTTGCATTTTAAGTATTATACTGTATTGTAAACCATGTATCATTTAGTTGCTAAACACTGGACAGTTTGTTCCACTGTATTTTTTTTTGTTGTGGAGACAGCTTATTTAGTCATCTTGCAGTTTTGAGACTCTCAAACGCTGAGCTTTCTGAGGGCCACTTGTAGTGGTAAATCATGGTTTTTCTAGAATGTAACTGGTGTATATTTGTACTATTAGTGTAATTTCTATTCCTCTCTGATTTACTTTATAAAATTCTTGAACTTAGGAGGAATTGAGATGTCTGAAATTTCACCACTTATGAGTTTGAGGTTGAAAAAGGATGTATAGAGCTGAATTCTGTAAATATTTGACTGTGGGTTGTTTGTTTTTTTTGTTTTTTTTTAATATATGTGGCACAGAAAAAAGCTCTGAACCAGACATCACCAGTTTCTGCATCGAAGACACAGGATAATTTGAGACAGCCTCAGCTAACAAGTCTTCTGAGCAACACACTATCAGGTCAACTAAGGTCTTTTTAAAATAATTTTCTTAATTTTCTTCAGCAACAGAAATCTGTTCTTCTTCAGTGTGTCAGAATTGCACTGATGGCTCGTACTGATAGGGTCCTAAAGGTTATTAAAATTTTATTTTTAGAAGAACACAAACTAAATTTTTCACATTGAATGTGTGCTTTTATTTTTCCCAACCATGGCACTTCATTTTGTAGAGTGAAAAGTTGAATCTCCACATTAAGCAATTATTTCTCCCCTCTATAAAATCCAAAATTGTACCTTCTTTATTTTTTCTTATTTTTTTGTTCAGCTTAGGAAAATAGAAATAAGTCATTTTCAAAATATGGACATCTGCTAAAAATTCTATAAACTTCTAGACCCTCTGTTGTGATGGCTGCTTCAGATACAGAGGAAAGAAAAATAGTGATTAGAAGGTTATGTGAAGGCTGTCATCACTCGATTTGTTTTTGAATGTGTCACTTTCTGTTGGAATAGTTAATGCATTGTTCATGGCAAAGTACTGGGCTTTTCAAGCAGCACCATGCTACTAAAAGGACAAAACCAATATATTCAAAACCAGAAAAATGGAGTAACCATCATGTTCTCTTTTAAGTAACCCTTTTGAATAAGGTCCCATACTCTAAGTGCCTTTTCTTTTTTCGCTTGTGTACTGTTATGTGCAAGCTGTCCAGGCAATTCTCTACAGTCAGCACAGTTTGGGGTTTTTTTTGCGGGGAAGAAAAAAATGCTTACTTGTGTTGCTTGTAATGTAGCTTGGCTGATAAGATGCTGTTTGAATTCCTGAGCAAGGCAATTGGAGGAAGTCTGCCCATGTAGAAAATCTAGAAAAAAAGTATGATGACTGCTGTCTAAATACTTTCTGGAGCTCTAGAAAAATTTGGTTTATATGCTTGAGGGAGGGTTAGTTTTGAAAAGCTTGATAAAATGTACTGTATGATTTTCAGTAAATTGTTGGGACACTATACTTACGGTACTTGAATTTCTTCTTACATTGCAGTGCTATGCAAGGTAGCAGATGATTTATCTGAGGATTTTTGTAGTATGCAGCATAAAATATCAGCCCTGTTCCATTTTTATGAGCCGGTTTCTCCACAGGGTAGTTGCACTGATGTTTTTAAGCATATGAAACGTGTGTCTTTCTCCTAGAAGCTAAAAACTCAAGTAAAATCATGAAATCATTCTGTTCTTGCTTAGGATGACAGTCTTTTTAACTTTTTTTTTATAGGACAGGACTCTGGAGGAAAAATCATACAGCAATCTCTAGGAACTGCACAGCCACAAGAAAAAGTAATAGGATCATCATCAATTCAACAGTGTATACAGGTAAAGAATACTTTCATTTATACGTTTCCCTTTCCCTTAAAATTTTAGTGAAGTTAAGTATGTTTCAACTCCATATTGATAATCTAGGAGTCCTTCTAGGGTGGTTTTGTTTTTAGACTATATGAAGTTATCAAGTTTGTCAAATTGTACCTTGACATAATACACATTGAGTATTTTGCAAATTGATATTCTGAATGCTGTTTTGAGATTTAATTAAGTGCAGTCTGACTGTACTGTTCGGTGAAGATAATTTCATATGACATAGCAGTTCTTCATGGAGTTGGACATAAATTAGACCTGTCTTATCATTACTTCTTACAAACTCAGCTATTGTCTAGCTGATTAGGTGGGGATGTTTTGTGAGAAGTAGCAGAAAAATTCCGTCTGGTCTTTGTCTGTTTTATTCTTTACTGCATTGTCTTCTTTCCCCAATGTCTTTTGGTGGTTTAAAAAAAAAGAAAAAAAATTCTCCTATATATGGCAACTATGTACAAAAATTTAACACCACGTCCAAGGCTTGGGGCTGGAAGGGGAGGCCAGCTTTTTTGGAGAGGCAATACAAGAACTTCTGGAGGAAGGAGACAGTTGTTACATTCATGGACTGAGTAACTGAGGGCAAGAAGTGAGGGTTTGAAGTAGGTTTGAAAGTTTGGGCTTTTGTTATGGATGGAGCTAAACTACACAATCGTGGAAGAAAACAAGGGAGGATCTGATTTAGAATTTTTGTTCCTTGCTGTAAATGTGTTTGTCGATGTAGTATAACGTAAATGTTTTTCCCTGTCTTACTGATGTACAAGTAGAGCAGAAGATACAGTAGTGCTCAATTACGAGTTCAGCCTGGCTTTGTAATTGTTGGTCAGATGTTCATTCTCCTGTGGTGGTGAATAGTTCTTATGCTCTGAAGCTAGAGACTTTTTGGCCAGCAAGTACCATTACAGTGTGCATGCTTCAATGTGCTCCTACTTTGCTAAGAAGGATGCTCTGTACCACATGCTTTTTTGTTCCTTCTAACCATGTTGTAGTTCAAAAGAGATTTCATGCAATCTTTTTTTAAATCATAAGTAACTTTTGGTCTGTGACCAATTTCATTAGTAAGACTAGTTGGCTAAAGAAACCCAACAACTTTGTATTAACTGAAGACTCTCTTTGATCCAGAATGGCTTCCTTGGGAGAATACTTGGATTGCAGTAATGCCTCTCATACAGTAGCAACGTGAGCCTTTACCACCTCAGAGACCCTCGCATCTTTGGACAGTGTTCCCTTGAAAAACCTTGGCTTCATAAATATCTAAGGGAAGGAGAAGATGATGTAGATCTACCTGCTGGGTATATCTATAGCATCGACACTGAAACGGAATTCCTAGAACCACTTTCACCCCCACCCAGCCACCATGGCTTTTGAGAATTTAAGTGTGCAACCTCAGCCTGCTTTCCTGACAGATACCCTAATCCATCAAAATCAGGCAAGATGACATCAGTTGAGAAATGCAGAGGCAGTTCTTGAAAGTAGATTTCTTTGGAAAAGTTTTTAGTTGTACCTCCTCTTCTTTTCACCTGCTAAATTTGATCACCAACCTTTTTCTAGTGAAGGATGTATATGTACTACAGTGGAATTTGTCTACAAACAACATTTCAGACCTTTGGTTTATGCAAGAGAAGTGACTTCCCTATTTCATTGATGCAGTGCCCTGTGAAAATAGGACATAGTTGAAAGTGTTTATACTTACGTGGTGGTTACACTTAGTATTGGTGATATACTTAATTGGCAGAAATAAATGCTGAAACTTAGGCTTTGCAAAGGAGGTGATAAATTGTAATTTGTCTTTTATTTTGAACTTAGGTGGATGGTCATTTAGTTGGACAGAAAAGACCTGCTGCTAAACAGTTAACTAAAGGAGCTTTGTAAGTCATTCTTCTTTTCTAATTTTGTTGCAGGTATTTCCTTTAACCTTAATTTCTTTTAGTATTTGTCAAATGTATAAACTTCTGTTAGAGTATGTGTTAATTATATATCATTAATTTTCCTTGTAGTATACTACAGCAGTTACAGAAGGATCAAGTGCATGCTGTGACACCAGATAAAAGTCGGTTCAGATCGTTAAATGATGCAGTTCAGAGACTCCTTTCATACCATGTGTGCCAGGGATCGCTGCCAACAGAGGAAGACTTAAGAAAAGGTAGTTATCTTTTTAAAAATTGGCAATAAGTTTGTAATCAATGTATTGAGAGAATTCTTTATGTTCGTTAGAGCAATAAGAAAGGGAACATTTTGAAATTTGTGCAGGTTACTGAACCTTCTGGTTACTGAAGAATAGTATTTGAAAGTATACTCTTGTCTTTCTAGTGGACAGTGAATTTGAATCTGTAGCTGCACAGCTTCTGAAGAGGACACAGGCTATGCTGAACAAATACAGATGTTTGCTTATAGAAGATGCAATGGTAAGGTATATAACCCAGGTACATTTTATGTTTAGAGGATGTGATTCAGTTTGTTTAAAAAAAAAAAAAATCTACAGGAAGGTGAGAGCTAGCATTACAGTTAATTTTGTTGATACTATGTATTGCCTTATGAAGGTGATAAATATGTATATGACGGTTTTAGAGGTACATATATGTATATAGCCAGTGTACTTGTTACCGGACCAGCAATCTCAGTGGCCAACCTGCATTTTTAAGTGTATGCACACATCTGAAAATCAGGGAAATGGGTTGAGTTTGTATTTCACATACCACCTAAGTAAGGGTGCTGCTATATATATAAATTCCACAGACATTTAAGACTCATGAACTTCCACTCTCTGCTTATACTTTGCTCTTGCGCTGAACAGGCTGTGGTAGTCAGGCAGGTGATTTCTGTGTATGTCTGTGGGAGATAGAGCCTGAAAGAATGTTGAAAAGCTCCATTCAGAGGCCTCCAGCAGTATTATAACCGGAGCTAAATAATATTACAATTTAGGAAATCATTACTTCTCCTCAGAAGCTAGGTGGAGCCTCACATTTTCATCAGAAATGCTTCTGATTTAAGTGTTTTCATGATCCCAGGCGTGAGGTAAAAAGAAAACTGACAAAGTTACTCTAAGAATGTATTTTACAAGGATCAGGAAATGTCATTGTGGTTTCAGACATGCTAGTTTTCAAGCCTGGAAGAGTTTTGAGTTTGATTATAATAGACATTTAAAACACTGTGCTTTAGAGACAGGAATACATAATACAAGTGTTAGAATTAATACGGTTTTGGAATCTCGCAGTCGCATTAAAAAAAGATACTAACCATCAAATATTGGCAAATAATTACAGGTGCAGAGGTGGGGATGGAGATTAAAATCTGTTCTTTTAGCATCTGGTATGTTGTAAATCCCATTCAGTCATTTTCAGTTATTTCACATAGTGTTCAGGTTTGGAACTAGTTGCCTGTGTTGTGACTTAGTAGCCAGTGAACTTTCTTCTGTGATGGATGGATCCACCTGGCTTGTAGGCATCGTCAGCTAGTTAGAAGGATGGGAGAGAAGTGCAGGAAGGAAACAAGATGATAGGGTGGTCCCCTTGCAAGATTTTTGCTGTTTTTCTCTCTGAAAGATGCTGTGTGATGTAAAAAATTGTGGTGTACAGTAGTAAACATACTCAGTCCTGAAAAGGTACAATTCTTAGAGTTGGGGTAGTAATTCCTTGTTTTAAAATCTTTAACAAATAAAATGTACCTTAAAATGTGAATAATATTTTATGGTTGAGTTTCAGTAGTGGTTGGGGTCGCAGTCAAGATCATTGAAGATGCTGTGGGATTGTGAACATTCTCCGCAAATACCTAATGAAAGACATTCTTTTTCTCTGAAGAATAACTAAGCTATAAATGTTTTGATTTGGTGCCAACATGACAGTGACTACAGAGATGTTTGTTTGTTTTCCTTTTCCTGCAGCGGATAAATCCCTCTGCAGAAATGGTTATGATTGATAGGATGTTTAACCAGGAAGAAAGGGCATCTCTGACCCGAGATAAGCGTCTTGCACTAGTGGATCCTGGTAAGTAATGGTTAACTTCTGAATCTTATAAAAGCAGCGTAAGTACGGAGTGTTTAAAAATAGTTGTGGCCACAGTGAGGCACTGATTGCTGGGGATTCCAGTAATTGAAATATTAAATAGGCAGTTGCAAGTTAAATTTTAATAACTCCCAGATTCAACAATCTAGAGACACTGTAAGGTTGAAGGCAGTTATTTGGGGAAAAAGTGTATTTGGTGTGTTCGGCAGAGAAATATTTTCTGAGTTTCTTTTGACAATAGTCATGACTCCTGCATGGTCTCAATTCTAGTAGGGAAGAATCTGTGAATTTGCTGGCAGTCAGAAAGAACACTGCTGTATGAAGCATGAGTACTCTTGTTCATCTTAATGAAGCGTTGCTTTTTGGAATGTCATGTCCACTTAAATGGCAACATTTTTAACTAGGCTGTTGTTGAATGTAGCAGCTAGAAGCACATTATTTGTGTAAGAGAACAGTTACTGTTTGTTTAAATGTTGTGCATATTCTGCATATTTTAGAAGATATTCAGAGGATGTATTAAAGAAGGTATTAGTTTTCCAGGTACCGTATTTGCATATTTAGAATGCCAGGAAGTGCCATCAGTCTGGTTTTACAGCACATACATGTGCATAATATGCTGCTTAATTTTGGGGTAGTCTCCTACACTGGACGCAGCAGAACACTTAAGCATGTGTACGTCTCTTAAAGACGTGAATCTGTAGGCTGTGGATGTTACTTGAATTTTCATACTCAGAAACTACGGTGGAGTGTCTGTTATTTTGATGTATCGGTAATTTAAGTAAAATGTTGTTACTTAATTTTCAGATGGTTATCAGGCTGATTTTTGTTGTTCTGCCAAACAATTTGATAAAACAGCTGAAGAAGCACAGTCCAGCAAAAGTGACCATCAGTCTAGCAAAACATTACCTTCTCGAAGTCAGACTACCAAAACCCAAGCTAGAGACCGGCCAAAATCTAGCTCAGCAGAGTCCACAAATCACAGTAAACATCCTCTAGTGCCTAACAGCGTTCTGACACCACAAGAAGGAATAGCTTCTACTAAAAAATCGGAGAGCCTCACTAAAGCTTTAAAGTTTGAAAAAGCTAATTGTTCTTCTGAGAGCCAATACGTGGCCCTTCCTGAAGAAAAGGTGGCTGGGAAAGATCTTGCCAAGTCCACAGAGAATTCTTCGAGTTCCGAAGACTTGTCAAAAACTGTGTCAAGAGGCAGTCATGGAACACACAATAAGATATCAAGGAACACAGTTCAGTCTTTCTCAAAGGTAACGTGTAATAATTCCCTCCAAGACAAAACTCTGAGGAGCTCTCCAAAGAATGAGGTTTTACATCCTGATAACAGGAAAGGCTCTGGTGAACCCCAGCAAGACTTACTGCTCAGTAAGAGTTTAGAAACTACATTTAAAAACATCTTGGAACTTAAAAAAGCTGGGAGACAGCCGCAAAATGAGGCGACAAGTAGCGGCTCGGTTGAATTAGAATTTCCTAATTTTTCACCTATTGCTTCACAGGAAAACTGCCTGGAAAAATTTATTCCAGACCACAGTGAAGGTGTTATAGAAACTGACTCTATTTTAGAAGCAGCTGTAAATAGTATCTTAGAGTGTTAATAGTTACAGTACCATGGACAAGTTTATGTTTCTCTTAGCAGAAGCAAATGTGAATGACACCACAAGTACAGCCTGACATGCATTTAAGGTTAACCTTTCTAAACTAGATTCTGTTCTGTGTTTGAGAGCAATACTCATTGTGGTTACAGTGAGATATCCAAGTAAAGTTAATCCTTGTTAGAATGCAGTCTGTTAGGGCCTTACTATTTCAAGTATTAATTACGATAGTGCTTTTGATAAATGTGCAGTACTGCAACATAAGAAGGTTGCAGGTTGTTAGGCCCTATATAATATGGTAATATACTGACAATCGCAGTCATTTGAAAGGATATATTTATTAAGAAAATGTTTTTAAAAAATGATGGAAGCAACAGTTCTCCCCTACCCTTCTCTTCCACAAATCATCAGATTTTTAGTTTTTCTGGAAAACCCACTGTACCTCTATTTGGAAGTGATTATTTGCTTTGTTAGTGAATCTGTGTTCTAGGATTCTTAAGTTGGAAGGATTATCATCAGTGTGTTTACAAGGCTTCATAATTTAAACTTAAAGTGCTTTTCTATTGCTTTCTGAGCAGAAACTAGTACTTGATGATATATTTGTAGTGGGTAACTTTAGTCTGTGGGATGATATTATATGATCTTAGTCACAGTGGCATGATATGAAGTAATAAATGCTTGACTAAGGAAGGTAGAATGGAAGCCAGTAAATGGCAAAGTGTACAGGATGAGGCCATGATAGAGCCATGAATTTATATATATAATACATATATATGTTAACTCTTGAGGAAAAGATTTTGCATTTTATAATTGGATGTAGTCAGCCTTGAGTCTTTCTGAAGTGGTATAAATGTTTGGTTTTTTTTTTTTTAATTTGTTGTTTGTTTTTTTTAGACCAAGTGTCAAAAGCACTTTTATTTGAAAACTGTTATATTTGTAGCTTATATTTTAAGAGGACATTAGCCTTACTCTGATTAATTTTAAAGGCCAGTGTTTATTTTTTATTTTTTTGCTTTTTGCTGTCAGAGAACGTTAAATCATCCACCATAGCAGTCATAATTATCAAGATATGTACAGACCAAAGTCGATCAGCAATCCCATTGTTTAAACATATCAAAAAGTGTGTAATTATTAATTCATATTGTAGAGCCAAGTGAAACCATTGCATGGTTTGTATTTGGCTTGCTGTCATGTTGTTAAGATAGAATCTTATTATTTTATTTATTTATTTTAATCTATGACATCTTTTTTTTTTTTTTCGCTGCCCATGCTGCTTTTTCCTAGTTTACTTTGGTCATGAGTGCTTTTGTGCACATAAGTACGCTGACATTCGTCACGTGCATGTAGTACATATGTCTGCTCAGGAGGATATAGCTTTTGTGATTTCTAAGGTATGCTCATGTTCTCCCCCAGACCTTCTCCACAGTCACTTAGAAAAATTACCAGCCATTTTCCAGGTTTGTTGATTACAATTTTCATAATAGAGAGGCTCATTGTGACAAGCTGTGGTTGTCAGTCAGATTGCCAGGAAAGAAAAGAGAAGGTTTTGCTGTCATGTAATTCAGTCCATCTGAGTAGCACAAAAGAAAGCAGAATTAGATCCTTGTGACAGTAGAAGTGCAACTCAGTCTTGAGCTACACAGTCCACTGTCTGACCACTAAAGGAAACCAAATCTAGAAAGCAACGTGAGAAAGATGAACTTACTTAAAATTCATTTCCCCTTCAACGTGACTGGAAATACTGGTTTTGTATGTTACTAATTGCCATTTAAAAAAAATTGTGCCAATTTTAAAGTACATGTTTGTAAAAACCCAACATTCCCAAGTGTTGTATAAAATATTCAAGGTAATAATAAGTATTGCCAGTTTTAAATTTTTAGTTAGCTGTCCATAGAATAGACTCTCAGGAGGTTAGTTGTTTTGTTATTGGCAAAACTGACAATATAGTCTTCACCTATTGCCTTTTTAGATTTAATAATATGCTCATGGCTGTGTATCCTGATGTGTATTTTATTTTATCATTTTGGAAATTTAACCATTCTAAACTATCTAGGAAGGAAAACAGTAAGTTACACAGCTGTATGTTAACTAGTTAAATTTTTCTTTTCTAAGGAAAAAAAAGTAAAGTTGCACAGTCATTGATCCACTTGCTTTTTGTACCACCTCAAAATGGGTATGGGGTTTCCAGCCTCTCTACAGCAAATACATAATGAAGTATCAGGCTATGTGTCTTCTATTGGATCTCATTTGGGGATGGGGGACAATGGCATATAAAAAATGGCAAATTACAAAAAGTAATTGTGGTTGATCTGGTCAGACACATTTCTCTGAACTACTTACGAGAGGAACCCATTGAACAATCTTAGCAAGATTAATCTTAGATTGTTAACATTCTGTTGTTCACTCCTTTGAATGAAATTCTAAAGGAATTCTGGTACGTGGTAAAGCAGTAAATGAAAGAATTGTATTTTTGTTGTGCTAAAAAAAAAAAAAAAGAAGAAGAATTTATTAACCATGTGGGCTCAAGTCCAGCAAAGTATTGTGAATGTGCATGACTTTAAACATGTTTTCATTATTTTGCTGGCTCAGCATTGTGATTTCAATGTTATTTAATATTGCCTAATATTAAAACAAATTTTAAACTGGCAATTAAGAAAACTATGTTCGTTCTGAAGATCTTAGTATAATTTATCTGTTAGATTAGGGAGGCCTTACAGACTGACTTCACTTAAAGAGGATGTGTCACTTATTGTCAGTGTGGTATGGACTTTATTTGCTTAAATACCTTCATTTGTAAAGTATGTCTCACTTGAAATTGCTTTGTATACATTTTGTAAAAATATTTATAAAATGTTTTGTAAAAAAAAAGTATAACAAATTGCAGTTTATTTTGTTATGTTGGATAAATACTGTTAAAAGACACAAGTCAGTAAATATATTGTTAATCCATGGATAGGAAATGTTTAGTTGGAGAATACAAATTGAAACAACCATTGCAATACAGCCAAAGATTTGGGAAAAAATGTCTATCTGTGATTGTCTTGATTTAACTAAGTTGAGTATTTACATTTCCAAAAGAAGATTGTTCCAGTTTTAAGTAATACGGTTGCAAAATATTCTTACTCCTGTGCTTTTTATAATACAGCCCTGTTATAAAATACTTAATAGGCCAACTTTCCATGCTTTTTATGAATCTTTCTGAACATATGCTATTAGGACTTGGTTCACATGGCAGTATAACTACATATAGTAATGCTGATCTCCAGATAACAAGATTGCCAACGTTCCTGCTCTGTTGTCATTAGAAATCATGCCATGGCGAGGTTGCTGAGACATACTCTCCTTCTCCAGCATGTTTTCACAAGATAGAGGCATCATCTTCCTGATACCTCAGGGAGATAGAATCAAAAAGAGGGATTTTGTTACTCAGCTGGCCCCCTCATCCATGCCGCAGGTGTTCTGAGTTGTGCCAGTTGTATTTGGTGATAGATACCTGTGTTTGCAGTATTTCCCATTCCTTCCTTTTGGCTGTGAGAAGATACTACAATTGCTGGTGATGTAATGATTCTTCATACTTTTAGAGGGGTGATGAACCTTTTCTTACTGTGATTGAATTTTTCAGAAAGTATGCTGAGATTCTGATCTAGTAAAGCTCTATGCTTGGAACTTCAACACTTTATTTTTGGAGGCTATGAAAACGAAGGATTGGTGAAGTGCACTGCCTCTCAACTTGGAGTAGGGCCTGCAGTGTTGAAAGGTAGAAATCTTTATGGTTAGTATTCATTATTTTGTCAATGAGACAAAATAAACATGCATTTTGAATGCTTCTCACATCGATTCAGTCAGTAACAATATTAATAAAATCAGTTACATACTATTTTAATCTCTGTTTGGGTTAGGCTGGCTAAGCATCTTGGAATTTTTTTGTCTTTTATCATATCCCTGTAGAATTACCAGGCAAACTTTCTGGGGTGGGAAACATTTGATGTACAGTTTACCATACCGCTGTGTTCACTTCAGAATATCTTTTCGTTACAAGAACATGGTGTACTTTTTTTAATTGCCTTTCAGTAGTGTTTTTATGGTGGGGTTTGTTATGTTTATTCCAACATTCAGGGCAGAATTCCTGAAGATTTGGGCATGCATGTTAATGTATAGCTTATTTAAGAAAGTCAGAACACCTTTCATTTTGAGGATCCATACAAAGAAATAAAAATTGCCAGAATAAGCTTGGCACAAGGAAAGGTATGTAAGTAATTTTAAACCTTAGAGAAATTCCTCTCTCCTTCAGGAAGTGTTTTCTTTATAAGCCTTTGAATTTTTTCTTTAGGATTGTACACACTCTTTCTTTGCATTTTCACGATGATGTGTTTGTCAGACAGCTTCAAGAAATGCAAGAAATTGTCTTCGTGACTTGGGGGTCACCTGTCACTTTGGTTAAAGAGTCATTGCAGAAAATAAGTTCCGGTGAAGATCTGCACAGCAGCAGCTCTGGTGCACAGATAAAATACACTGTACACAGATTTCAGATTGCAGTAGTGGTGGGTATACTGAATTATTTCTTCATAATTTATGGATCGGCATTTGTCTTTCTGTGCTACTAGTCTTGCAACTAGTTGTTGTACTGGAAATGGAAAAAAAAATTATCTATAATAACTAGTCGCAATAGGTAAACGTCAAGCAAATTTGAGCAACTGTACTATGGAAGAAAAAGATAAAAGGACACAAAGTGTCCAGCTGAACCAATGTTTTTGGTGTAAAAGCAAAAACCTCTAAAGTTGCCCTGTTGTGTGCTGAGCATAAAACCCTGCTTTTTTTTTTTTTCCTAGACTTGATATCATAGTTTTGTGGGGAAAAACGTTTTACAAATGGAGGAAGAAGCTAAGTCAGAATTTAAGGCTCTTCTGTAGTATACTCTTCACTTAGCCTCATTGCTAGCTTTTGTTTAGGCGGGTGCCATTGTTTTTGCAGATTATTAGCCTTCTGGATCGTAGTGCTCAGTCTTCATTGCAGCTTTTGCACTGCAGGATATTTTGGGAGGAATTTCTTCCAATTCCTCCACCCCCTCCCATGAAAAGGAAATCATAGACTCATTTAGGTTGGAAAAGCCCCTAAGATCATTGACTCCAACCGTTAACGCTGCTAAGTCAAATGAGATGTTCTCATTTGACGTAAATTGTTGCAACTGTATTAATGAACCAACAGCAAGTTTAGAATTCAGTGCTTTGAAGGGGAAGCAAGGTTAGTTAGTCCATGCTGATACATCTAGACAGCTTTCAATGTTTCAGTTAGCTTTTATGTCTACATAGCTTTTCATTACCTAGTGTAGTCATACCAGAGGCCAAATTTTCAAAATTATTGTGAACTCTTGGCTATACAAGTTCCTTGCTGTCACATGTTTATTACAACTTGGGAAGATAGTGATGTTTCACTCTAATTTACCAAAACAGACTTGCCCTGATAGAGCTCAACTGTCTCGGCACACCACTGAGGTGGAAGTAATGTAGACCTAACTCTGACATTCCTTTCTAGACACCTGGCACATAGGGCCTGATCCACAGTCTGTTGAATCAGTGGAAAGATGATTTTCAATTAAGGATTATGGTGATAATACTTCTCTTTAAAAAATAAAAATTAAAAAAGCGTGAAATTTAATTGATATCATATCCTTGGGTGGAAGGCGATGCAAGATTCTACAGCGATGACCATCTCAGCACTTAGGTAGGTAGCATTATCTAACTAATGGTACTATTTGGGGTGGTGATTGAATAAAATGCTTTCATATAAGCAGGCTGCTAATTTTTTCCTCTAAACATCATACACTTTTAATAATTACTGCACAGTTCTGAAAATACAAAGCTTTACTCTCTCCTGTGAAGTCTGACTCCAAG